CATGCTTAGTACCTTTCAAGTACTGACGCATACGTGCGCTACATCTTCTCGTGATGTAGGTTCAGGTTCTCAGCATCCAGATCACACGTAGATCGGTTCACGATCTCCAGTTTAGCAGAATCAGTTGTGAGTCCTCATTCTTCGAGGACAATAGTCATGTCATCTTTCAATTTTCAGTCTTTTAGTTTCAGATTTTCTAGACTTAGCTGGAGCATGTCCCAGCACTTCTAGTCAGTTTAGAGGCTTATTTCAGACATAGTTAGATTCAGCTTAGTATTGAGTTAATATTTTCTTTGTATAAAAACTCATCAGTTATCATTTATCTCAGTTATAGTATATGGGTATTCCCCATATTTTCATCTTTATTTATGATATAGCTTCCGCACAGTTTCTATTATTCATATTATATTTAGTATGCTCATGATCAGGCCAGCAGGGTTAGCTTGGGATCACTTGTGGTCCTAGGTCCCGTGTCCGCGTCTCGGGGGTTGCTCGGGGCATGACAGCTAAGGTACTCCAGAAGGTTGAATCAACTGATGCAGGGGTAAAAGAAATGAGAAGTGATTTCTCGAGCATGAGTCAGTTGGTGGACTCTCACACCACCTCCATTAAACAAATTGAGCAGCAGTTGGGGCAACTCTCAACCTCACTGAATCAGAGGAAGAATGAGTCACTACCAAGTTATACCATTCAAAATCCTAAGAAGGATGGGCACTGCATGGCCATCGCCACCAGAAGTGGTAAAGTTCTTACTGACCCTACTTTCGCATGTACCAAACATGAACAGGTCTTGGAGCAACCAGGCAGAGATGAGGCTGAAACTATACAGGTAGATGACTCGGAGGATATTCAGCATAAAGCACAACCTGCGAGAAGAAAAGAGAAAGAGGTCAAGGAAAACCTACCTTTACCTCAGATTCCCAGACCACCTCATCCTTTCCCTCAAAGGCTCAGAAAGAATGATGAAGATGGGAAGTTTACAAAATTCATCACCATGTTGAAGCATCTTTCAGTAAACATTTCACTGGTGGAAGCCCTGGAGCAAATGCCAGGATATGCCAAGTTCATGAAAGACTTGGTTACCAAGAAAAGAGTTGTAAGTCTTGATTTTTCTAACGATAATCATCATTGCAACGTCATTGCTACCAGATCTCTGGTTCAGAAGAAGGAAGATCCAGGTGCATTCATTATCCCATGCACCATTGGATCAATTAAGTTTGCAAAAGCTTTATGTGACCTAGGAACCAGCATCAACTTGATGCCATTAGCCATCTACAAGAAATTGGGATTGGGAGTTCCAAGACCCACAGCAATGAGGTTGATGATGGCTGATAGGTTAGTAAAGTGGCCAATGGAAGTCTTTTGTGATGTACTGGTTAAGGTGGACACCTTCATCTTTCTGGCTGATTTCGTGATCTTGGATTGCGAAGTGGACTTTGAGGTTCCTATCATTTTGGGAAGACCATTTTTGGTAACAGGGATAGCCTTGGTAGATGTTGAGAGAGGAGAGCTAAAGTTCAAAATTAACAAAGATGAAGTAAAGTTTAATATTTGCAGGTCAATGAAGCAACCCAATGATATGAATGTGGTATCTGCAATAGAGGTGGTTGCTGATGAAGAAATGAGGGTACCCATAGAAGAGAGGATGGCTGTTGAAACCTTAGCAGCAGTGCTGATGAACTTTGATGTTGATTTTAAGTTTGACTATGTAGAGACCGTGAATGCTTTGCAGGGTATAGGATCACAATCGTACGCTCCAAAGAAATTGGACCTGGACTTGAAAAACAGGCCAAGCCCTCCAGAAAAACCATCCATTAAGGAGCCACCGGTGCTAGAACTGAAATAGTTACTCAGTCACCTCAGGTATGTATTTTTGGGTACTAACAACACTTTACCTATGATCTTGGCTGCAGATTTAAATGAGGAGCGGGTGCAGGAGGTGATCAAGGTGTTGAGAAGGTACAAAATGGCCATTGGGTGGACCATTGCTAATATAATTGGAATACCTCCGAGTATATGCACCTACAAGATTCAGCTTGAGGAGGACTGCAGCCCAAGCATTGAACACCAGCGGAGACTAAACCCACATATGCAAGAGGTGGTTAAGAAAGAGATAATCAAGTGGTTTGATGTTGGGGTGGTCTATCCCATTTTTGATAGTCACTAGGTCAGTCAAGTGCAATGTGTGCCCAAAAAGTGTGGTATGACTGTGGTGGCAAATGCCAAAAATGAATTAGTCCCACAAAGACCAAACACTAGATGGCGAGTGTGTATGGACTACAGGAAGCTCAACAAGTGGACTTTGAGGGATCATTTCCACATGCCTTTTATGGACCAGATGCTTGATAGGTTGGCAGATAAAGGGTGGTATTGTTTCTTAGATGGATACTCTGGCTACAACCAGCTATCAATTGCTCCTGAAGATCAGGAAAAGACCACATTCACATGTCCTTATGGCACCTTTGCGTTTAAACGCATGCCATTTGGACTATGTAATGCATCAGCAACATTTCAAAGGTGCATGATGTCCATTTTCTCAGATATGGTTGAGGACACTCTAGGGGTATTTATAGATGACTTCTTTGTAATAGGTGATACTTTTGATGACTGTTTGTTGAATCTTAGTAGGCATCTACAGAGATGTGAGGAGGTCAATCTAGTGCTAAATTGGGAAAAGTGTCATTTCATGGTAAAGGAGGGCATAGTCCTTGGTCACAAAGTGTTGCAGAAAGGGATTAAGGTCGACAAGGCCAAAATCGAGGTTATTGAAAAGTTACCTCCACTTATCTGTGTGAAGGGTGTTAGAAGCTTCCTAGGCGCCGGGTTCTATAGGCATTTCATCAAGGACTTCTCCAAAATTGCACACCCCATGTGCAACCTTTTGGAGAAGGAGGTGAAATTTGTCTTTGATGAGGCATGTCTCAAAGCATTTGAGTGCCTAAAGGAAAGGCTAATTTTAGCACCAGTGATCATTGGCCCAGACTGGGCAGAGCCATTTGAGGTAATGTGTGATGCCAGTGGGACTGCATTAGGAGTTATGTTGGGGCAGAAGCGCAACAAGATGTTTCATCCGATTTACTATGCTAGTAAGTCGCTGAATGGGGAACAGCAAAACTACACAGTCACTAAGCAGGAACTATTGGCGGTGGTCTATGCGTTTGAAAAGTTCCGAGCGTACTTGTTGGGCACTAAGGTGATAATTCATACAAACGATGCTGCCCTGAGATACCCCATGGCAAAGAAAGATGCCAAGCCTAGGCTGATCCGATGGGTGCTACTTCTCCAAGAGTTTAACTTTGAAGTGAAGGATAGGAGAGGCTGTGAGAACCAGGTAGCTGATCACCTGACTAGGTTGGAGGCTGCAAAGAAGGAAGAGAGTGAGCTTGAAATAGATGATACATTCTCAGATGAGCAGGTATTAGCTGCAACTCTTGACCTTATTCCTTGGTTGGCTGATTATGCTAATTTTCTTGTTAGTGATGTAATGTCTGAAGGACTAACATTTCAGCAAAGAAAGAGGTTCATGCATGATGTAGGTAAGTATTTCTGGGACGAACCATATTTGTATAGGATTTGCGCTAACAACATCATCAGGCGGTGCATTCCTGAGGCTGAGATGCTGCACATTTTGGAGGCCTGTCACTCATCTCCAGTAGGTGGTCATCATGGTGGTGCTCGGACAGCCCACAAGATACTTCAGTATGGGTACTATTAGCCCACAATTCATCAAGATGCAGTGGATATAGTGAGGAGTTGTGACGTGTGCCAGCGGCAAAGAGCCATCTCTCGGCACCACGAGCTACCCATGAGACCTATCTTAGAGGTGGAGTTGTTTGATGTGTGGGGCTTCCATTTCATGGGCCCATTTGTGAGTTCCTATGGACAGAAGTATATACTGGTCGCAGTGGATTATGTATCCAAATGGGTTGAAGCCGTTGCGTTACCTGAGAATGATGGCAAGAGTGTTGTTGTGTTCCTAAAAAAGAACTAATTTTCAAGGTTTGGAACACCTAGATCCATTATCAGTGACGGTGGCAACAAGGTGTTCAGTGCGCTTCTGACCAAGTATGGGGTAAAACAACACAAGGTTGCAACACCTTATCACCCACAGACCAATGGCCAAGTAGAGGTTTCCAATAGGGAGATTAAAGCAATCTTGGCAAAGACAGTTAATGCCAACAGGACAGATTGGGCAAGGAAGCTAGATAATGCTCTATGGGCATACCAGACAACTTTCAAGATGCCTATTGTTCTGTCTCCATACAATTTGGTGTTAAAGGCATGTCATTTACCGGTTGATCTTGAGCATAGAGCACTTTGGGAGTTGAAGAAGTTAAACCTAAGTTGGAGCGAAACTGCAAACTTGAGGCTGGATCAGATCAATGAGATGGATGAATTCTGTTTGAGATCCTGTGAGAGGTCAGCACTGTATAAGGAGAGGATAAAGTTATATCATGACAAGCATATCGAGAAAACAAGCTTCACTCCTGGTGACTTGCTGTTGCTTTTCAACTCCAGACTTCGTCTGTTTCCAGGAAAGTTGAGATCTAAATGGTCTGGACCTTTTAAGGTCACACAAGTGTTTCAATCTGGTGCTATTGAGCTGAAAAATGATAAGGGCGAGAGGTTCAAAGCTAATGGCCTGCGAATCAAGGTATATTTGGGTGTTCCTGAGGATGTGAAGATTGTAGAGGAATGTAAATTTGATGAAGTCTGAGTAATCAAGTAACCTACGTCGCGCCGCAACATTAAATTGTGTGCTACTTGGGAGGCAACCCAAGATGTAATTGTACTAGGTATTTTCCCTTTTTCTTTATTTTTCTTTATTTTTCTAGAGTCACTGTGTGTTGATGCGTGCAGGAGAGATTAGGGGGGAAATTGCAGAAACTGGTGCAGACTGAACTTCACGGACCGTGGTGACCTTCACGAGCACTTTCACGGTCCGTCAACATGAGGACTAACTTAAGGAAGCTACTGGAAATTGCATGAAAAAGGTTCACGGTCCATTATATCTTGTACGGACCGTCTAGCCTCTCGTGAACCTCAGGTATGAATGCCAAGCTTCTAAGTCACAGTCACGGATAGGTTCACGGACCGTGATGCCCTTCACGGGAAGCTTCACGGTCCGTGGTCTTCCGCAATCAAGTGTTTGACCCAAGTCAGGGTCACGGACCATGATGCTCTTCACGGTCCGTAGTCTACTACCTAGTACCACCAGCGAACCGTCCCGACCCGTGCATAACCTATATTAAAATTAAGAGTGTAGTTCTTTCCTATTTTCGTTCCCCTTTAACGGTTCCTAAAGAATCAAAGAAAATTCCATCTTACAGAATTCAAAAATCCCTCTAAGATTCGAAACCCTTGTTCGGGTATCAAAGTTTGAAGCTCCAATATGTGCTCCCTCGTGTGAAAAGGCGAAAGTTGGAATCAGTTTTAAAATAAGTTCTTCTTTCCACTGATTCATAAGTTTGATCTTATCGTTAGGCGAGTTAGCAGTACTTATACTACTCTAATTAAGCATAATCAGGTGATAAACGCAATTTATTGATGAGTATTTGTTGTGACTTAAGTTGAATTGGGTGTTTTAATTGATCTTGTGTGTAGGTTTAAAGCAGGGGGGTCAAATTTGTTGATTGCTTTAGGTTGTGAAGTTTAGGTTAGTTAATTTAGTTGATTTAGAAGTAGGTCACTACTTAAGTTATAGGAAGGTTGTGAATTTGTGTAAAAATGGTGGTTAAGTGCTTAAATTCGTTGTAGGGAAGAAGGTGACTGACATATTGTCCAAAGTGTAATACCACGACAAGCTTTATGGACCATGGAAGAGACCACGAGCCATGAAACTTGTCGTGGACCACACTTGCAGTCGATCCATCCCTCAGCTAAAGTTCACAGACCGTAGCGCACTCCACGGGCCATGAACCCGTCCATGAATATCCCTTGGAAATTTCGTGGCTCCTTCTGTGCATTCATTCTTCCTTAAACTCACGAGAGGTTTCATGGACCGTGGTACATACCATGTCCCGTACAAGCTTCCGTAAGGCTTACTTAGTTGTAAATTTTGATTTTTTTGTACTTCAATTTTTTATTCGTTTTGTATTCCGTGGCCATTCTTGATGATAGATTGGGTGATGGAATTCTTAAGGCAAGGCATCATGATGATATTACACAGGGGAAGTTTGAGTACCCGGTAGTGTGTCATTTTATTGATTTTTGTACTAATTGGTGTTTTGTTTCTCAAGTACAATGGGACCTAGAAGAAAGACTCATTGAGTGTCAATCAGAGGGTCAAAATGACTCCGAGTCTAGTCATTTTAAGGTTCAGATGAATTTCACACCTGCAGATCACTCACCTCGGGCTACTAGAGCACTGACAAAGTGAGCTATTCTCCAGAAAACTCCTCCCAGTCTAAAGAGGGAGGTACTAGTCCCAGTAGGGGTGAAGAATCAGGTAGTCAATCTATAGTTGGTTCAGGTAGCCTGTCTGCTGATAACTCGAGGGGCTGTGCAGAGTCTGAAAGCGGTTCTCAGGACGATACAAACACCACTCCACTTGTGGCGCATACAGAAGCTGAAACTGGAATACGAGAGGAAGCGACCACTATAAAAGATGATGAAGAGATTGCCAATGATGATACCATGGTGATGTATGTGACTACTCATGAATCTAATCCTGTACTGAGACCACAGTTGATTGCATGTTACCGTTCCATGTGGACTGTGAACCGGTCCAAAGAATTTTTCAATAATGTGATTGTGAACACGACTGGCGGCTTCAAGAATCGAGCAATCATGCCTGAGACTAGGGTGGTAGTAGCTGGTATCAAAGCATTCTCGGACATTTATCAG